ACTTTATATTAAAATAGATCAAAATTTCAGCATCTTCCCGACAAAACTTTATGACATCAGAGCTAGAGATACTAACTAGAGTTGGGCAACAAACCTTTTTTTTTGCCAAATCCGAAAGTTTCGGATTTCGGATTATAATTTCCAAACCTCATCCGAATTCCGAAACCCTATCGAAGCTGTTAAAACTTAATATTTGTTCATTCTAACTAATTATGATCAGGCTAATATGCTGGTAGCTATTTTGTACATCAGTAATGCCAAGATTTAATTTTATGAGATATATAATTGGAAATCGATTATTGATATAAATATATCATACGTAAATTAAGCTATTAATAAATATGAAAGATTTTTGTACATAGTAATAATAAAACGAATAAATAATCAGGATATATATCATTGAAATTAATCTTATTTTATTTTATATTAATTTGGATTTTTAATTTATAAATAATACAGTCAGACCTCCTAAATGCATGTCGTCGGGACCAGCTTTAGAGCGTGCATTTAGGGAGGGTTGCAATTAGAGAACACTAATTAATCATAATATGACTCTTATCACATGATAAACTTATCTTTATAGCATAGAATAATGAACTTTATTGGCTATAATCACGTGGATGTATTTATAGAGGAGTTTTTATAATTGGGCCAGGCAATTGTTGTGCACTTACAGAATAAAGAATGTGCATTTATCTATAAGTCCCATTGTGAGGATAGCCTTCTATCGTGCATTTAGAGAGGTGTTACATTTAGGGAGGTTGCATTTAGGGGTCTGACTGTATTAAAGTCATTTTTTTGGTTTTTTAAGTGCACCCCTACTATATCGAAATTTTACTAATCTTTTTTGTATAACTAACAAAAGAATGTTTCTCTTGCAATTTTACCCTAACCCAAATTCTAACCTTAATCCTAACTCTACCCCTAATGTTTATTTTTGCCCTAATATTACCTTATTTGACATAGGGGTGCATTAAGTGCACGGGTGCAGCTTTAGTAAAAATCTATTTTATTTTTTAATTTTTTTTTAACTATCACTGCTCTATTATAAATTTTTAAAAAATTGAAGATTTAGGGTTAGAGTTAGGTAAGGTTTAGGCTAATTATATGTAAAATTTTGTGCTGAAAACTTAGTACACAAAAATTTTGTCCTCATTGTATAATATTTCGTCATCCAAGTTTTACTATTGGTTGGCTACACGAACCCTGCAATCTGTTTGTTGCGTAGTTTCGGGGTAGTTTCTGGATTTCGGGAGTTTTGAATTTTTTTAAAAAATCCGAAACTAGTTTCGGATTAAGACCTTTCGGAAACTAATTTCGGGTAGGTTTCGTTTCGTTACCCAACTCTAATCAGTACCGATTTTGACTAACAGAACAGACCCTTGGAAAAAACCCAACATTAGAAACAACCTTAAGCAAAACAAATAAAATGTCATGTTCCACACGGTTCAAGTCCTTGTTTCATTAAACGCTTTAAGCAAAATGTTTCTTGCTTCATTGATATTTCTGTCTATCCTTAACCTATAATTTTATTCATGAATACTTTTGAACCACCTAATCTTACGTTTATCTTTCCACATATTCCGCAATTTTCGATGTATCCTCCTCTTTGTATATTAAAACTTTGAAATTTGGTAATTCTTGTGTAATAAAATCTCTTAACTTATAATGTGACCAAGTTGTCAGCATCCTCATGGTTTTTGATATGATCTTTCTCCTGATACTTTCACCATTTCTTGGCTCTCAAAATTTAAGTAATAATTATCGTATAAATACTTTGAGCTTGTGATGACATTCTTTCACGAGATTTTTAATCTTGTTGGATATTCTAAGCATCATTTTTTGCAGTCTAAATCTTTTCTTAAAAGTTCAGTTCATGGAAGTATCTATATTGCTTCTAAACTTGTTAGTCTTTTTACATTACCTAACTATCCCTTGATATCGTTCACCCAATTGATCATAACATGTCATAAGTTTTCTTGCATCAGGATCAAAGTGATACAATTCCTTTCTATTTTCTAAATATATCAGAACACAAATAAAGAAGTTTTCTAATTTATCATGCGTAATTCTTATATCATGTTTGTTTCAGGTAGCTTTTTAAGGTGACAGATATTTATACCCCTGATTTTGTTATTTGTACCTCAACCTTTAAACAAATATTTCTCGACAATCACCAAGCCAAATTTGATAAACGTTTTTTTATTTGGATTCTACAAGTTTGTAGAATCCAGATAAAAAAAAAGTTCATCGAATTTGGCTTGGTGGATGTCGAGATATCTTTGCTCAAAGTTCGGGAAAGTTTTGGCGCTGCTTTATTTTGATAGACATTTTGAGTTTTCTTAAAATTTGAGTGAAGATACCTCGTCAACCACCAAGTCAAATTTAACAAACTTTTTTCATTTGAATTCTACAGATTCGAAGAATTTAAATAAAAAAAGTTCATCGAATTTAACCTGGTGGTTGATGAGATAGCTTTACTCAAAGGTTGAGAAAAATTTTGGCGCAGCTTTATTTCGATAGCGATAGGCGTTTTGAGTCTTTTTAAAACTTTGAGCGAAGATATCACAACAGCCACAGAGTCAAATTCGATAAAAATTTTTTTATTTGCATTCTACGAATCTGTATAATTCAAATAAAAAAAAAAAGATTATTAAAATTGACTTGGTGGTTGACGAGATAATCGCTCAAAGTGTTAAGTAAACTCAAAACATTATTAAAAATTAAAATTTAACCATAGCTGCCGCAACAAAATTGGACCGGCAGATCCTCGATTTTGATTGGTTAAGAGCGACTATCAAAAAATTAACTCATAATTTGGAGGTTAAAGCGGAGTGAAATTGAAATTTTATTAATTTTATTAAATATTAAGGTTAGGGTTAGGTCAAGGCTAAGATTAGAGAGAGCTATAAGTAAAATTACCTTCCCGGCATTTTTTGTTAATACATCAAAGTAGGTTTAGACTACCGTTTCTTGTATTTTCTTTATTTTTCTCTTTTTTTCGCTTGTTTTGCTTCGTCGGTTAGTTGAAAATTTCACATTTTGATTGGTCTATCGTCTGTCGATCATCAAAAATTCACTCCGCTTTAACCTATCCCTATTTTTGTAATGAAAAAATTAAAAAGTTAATTCCGGCCGGAAATTAGTAAACAAATTTGTAGTGTGGGCTAAAATTTTGAAGATCCTCGGCCGTTAGCCAATCAAAATCGAGGATCTGCCGGTCCAAATTTGTTGCGGCAGCTATGGTTAATGGTTAAAATAAAGCTGCGCCAAAATTTTCCTCAAACTTTGAGCGAAGATATCTCGACAACAACCACCAAGTCAATTTTTTTTTTTATTTAACTTCTACGAATCTGTATAATGCAAATAAAAAAGTTTATTGAATTTTGATTTGGTGGTTGTCAAAATATCTTCTCTCAAATTTTAAGAAAACTCAAAATGTCTATCAAAATAAAGCTATGCCAAAACTTTTCAAAACTTGAGCAAAGATATCTCGACAACCACCAAGCCAAATTTGATGAGCTTTTTTTTATCTTAATTCTACAAACTTATAGAGTCCAATTAAAAAACCTTTATGAAATTTTGCTTGGTGGTTGTCGAGTTATCTTTGTTTAAAGTTTGAAAAAATTATAGTTTACAAGAGGGTACAACAAAATCGGGGGTATAAATATCTGCCGCTTTTTTAAATGTTATTTGTTTAAAAAATGAGAATTGGCTATTTGCCTTGTTCCAATCTCTGGTTCGATTTGCTAAAAGACACCTTTCTTCTCACTTCTTTGTTTGGTTATACCCTTATTACCAAGTTTTTCGGATTAGATTCCAAAATGTGTTATACCATATTCAGTTTCAAATCAATGTTTATTTTATTTGCAGCTTTATATATATTGGCCGTGAACAACTAGAAATTAATCTCATTTCTAAATATTTCCTATAATATTTCTTTATGGTAGGTACATTCTCATTCATTGGGCAACTACAATCTTCATGGTAGATTATCCACTAAGGGACTCCAAAACAGTTTGACCGTTTCCTTTTTCAGACTCAAATTTCCTCTTCATACTATGAGACTTGAACTATGCACACAAATTTATTATAGATGATAAAGAAATTGATATTGCGCAACTATATACGAAACAAGGAAACGTCTAAAGCGGAGTAGATTCTTATAATGCATATTTTTACTAAATTAACTTTAGGGTTAGGGTCATCTTAGATAAGGTTAGGTTAGGTTTTAGTAGTTATATATATACAAATTGCCTTTCGTTATTTTTTAACTACAATTTTTGGGGCTTCGTTTTTTTTTCTTGTTTGCTCGCCGAATAATCGAAATTCTATAATTTGATTGGTCAAACAGCACGTGATTCTGCTCCATTTAGACGACCCCAAATTAATACTCATTGTCTCGAATAATAAAAAAATGACATAAATATTCGATGATACAAATACCTTATTTAAAAATTACAGTTACAAAATCATACATACTGCTTGCAGTAGTAAATATTTAATTAAATAAGCTTGGCTAATAACTGATTGTATAACTATAATTGTGATTAGCTATTTTCTCAAGGATATACAGCTGGCATAATGTGCTTACTTTCAAATAATGGTTTATATTAAAATATTTATACCTCTGGGTTAGTAGTTACTTGCCTATGTGGTAAATACCACAATCTTACAATACATGTAATTTTATGTAAGTTTCAGTAAACTGGGATTTCGTGTAATTTTCATCACATTAAAGTACCAGCTTTACAAAAGTTTGGTTAGTATCATTGCATTTTAAATATATGAGGCATCAATCAAAACATAGCATAGCGATAGGGAGATGATAATTTTTAAAAATTAGTTACACAAAATTATAAAAATTAGGATATATCTAACACTAATTGCATCATAACAACTTAGTATCGTCTTCAGATTTACATTCAACATCTATATTACAATTAAACTTGTCTTAATTTTTATCATTTTATGCAATAATATTTTAACTATTCGAAAAATTAGCTTCTATCAAAACGTCTGCCAATCACACAAGGTCGCACAACACACATAACAAGCCACCTAGAATGTATATAAATATTCGTCGTAGGCCTCTCCAACCACCATTTGAGCGCAAAACCTTTTGTTTCATCATCTTTCTACAAACAAAAATACTTTGTAATAAGCAAGATTCACTTAATTCTGCTATCTTGTTTTGGCAAAGCAAAAATTCAATACTTATTTACTTCCAATTTAGCCTAATAGTGATTACCATTGTTAATTTTTCAGTAAATCACTATCTTTATATCAACATTCGAATGCTTCAAGAAAATAGAACTAAATTATCCAATATTTTTTAATATTATTCTCCCAAACGATTATTATTTTGACCTGATAACCAAACGAATGTGTTCAAAAGTTATTGAAAATTGTAGTAAGTTATTTTGAAAGCGTGAAGATTTTTTTATACTATTAAAGTTTTCGCCTTCTATTGTAAGGTTTATCCAAAATTTATAACATTTTACTCAATAGGAAATACTTTTTTCGGCCCATGTTGCAATTCTGAAGTATTCCGACATTCTTTTGGACACATTGTTGATATCAAAAACAACGATATAAAAACTGGATCGAAGCAAAATTTTCATGTGTCAAATTATTCGTATTAGAAATACGACTGGTTAAAAGCATATATAGAATTATGCAAAATTAGATAATTTTAACTTACGTAATACATGTTTTGATTTAAATCAATCAAATTGTGGGCATCTACACTTCAATTCACCTGAAGATGCCACAAGATTTTTAAACTGTTGAGGTATAACAATCTCGTCAATCTCAAACAAGATCGGTTCAACGATGAAAATCGGTTCCAGAATTGCGTTATCTTCGGATTTGCATGAAACCAAAGTCTATTATAGTTGGTAGTCTAATGTTTTTAACATGATTAAAAAAATCCCACTTTATCACATCTATCTTTCGAACATATTAGGTTTAATTCAGAAGGGCAAAGGACGTTAAACATGCCTTTCAACCCTTGAAAGGATCGTGAGAAAATAATTAACTTTAAAATGCTGAAAATACTGACAATGAAGATGAGTTCACTACCAGTATGACCCAAATAACGAAGTGTTGGTGGCGCTGATGATATCTTCATCAGCATTAACAAACACTTTATTCAACATCTAACAGCTGCACGTAAGGATGTATACTATTATTTAATTTGCATCATTGAGTATTATGTTTACATTAAGTACTTGTTTGGCTGGTGGCAACAAAGAAGAGTTAATTGGTTTAAATTTAAATATACCCCAAACAACACATGATTTTGTCAAGAACTTTGGCCCTCCTCAAATTACAAGTGGACAATGGATCCGAGTTCATAACCAGTGTTTTAACGCTTTACGTTCCCACTATAAACAAAAAATGAAATTGATGCATTTGTGGCCGTTGGTGAAGATGGAACTTTCTTGCACGAGATAATATTAAATCATTACTAATCGTAATAATTTCAAAGAAATGGTCAATAAGCTTCCATCTGTACAACAATCCTTTACAATTAAGAAATCAAAAAGTAATCAGGACATTGCATAAATTTAAATGAAGAAATATTGGTAATCCCTAACGAAATGAAACGATCTCACTCAGAGAAAAAAAGTTTACATTCATCCGAGACCGGGAATGTGAGGCGTGTGAGCATGTGATTTCGAAAGTTCCAATTTAGACTTACTGGGTGGATGAAAAAAAAAAGCCAAATAGGCAGCTAGAGCATGAATACATTGCTGGTAGTTCGCACGCTTTAGACATTAAAGACTATTTGGGCATTTTAGGCATTATAGACTTTTCTGACATTGTAGACAATTAACAAAAGTTTATTATATAAATAAAGGCCATTCTGGCCCTTCATCCCGCTTTTGCTGAATCAAACAAAATTCTATATAATATAAACTCCTTATTAAAAAGCTTGTACTTAATACACATTTAATATAAATCACAATAAAACTACATTCGATTTTGTAAAAACTAGGCCAAATATAACATGTCTCCTTTGACCCACATTTAACCCTAACTCTGGCTACACGAAGCCAGATTTTCTGTAGCGAATGATTATTCACAGTTTTACAGGGTTTCATCGCTAAAATTTTCAATTCAGTCGGCATTAAGATAAAATTCGGCCAAAAACTACAGGACAACTTTTATGCGGTTAAACAAACGTTATTTATGGATTCGTTTACTACAGTGCACCTCGGAATAGAACACAATTGTGTGTTTGAAAAATTATAGTGAGTAGTTTCACAAAGCTTTTTTTTTAAAAAAAATAAATAAATAAATAAAAAGACGATTCATTACGTATAATAAAGCAAATTGAAAATTTATTCTATATAATTTTGAATAAGGTAATACATTCGAATTTAAATTTCTTTGAATTACATCAATTTTCTTTTATAAAAACTTTGATATTTGGTTTTTCCGAACGTTAACACTTACCATATAAAATTTACAGTTTATTATAAAAGTGTTAATTTCACTACATATTGATACATGTATGCATACATATGTGCACGTATGATATCGAAAAATATACGGCCCATATGCACATATATGCATATCACATATAAGTATTTCAGCCCATTCTAAGATTACTCATTAAAAAAACCCTGTGTTTAACGGGTTCCAATCATATTTAATATTATCGGTCATGATCACCGTAGACATTCCTAATACGACTATTAAGGATTCGATTTTCGGAAAAAAAGGTTGAAGTGTTTAAAACTCTATCTGTACTTATAGACCAACCTGATGAGCGAAGGTAAACCCTAAATCATATGCACACTCCCTATGGATATGCGATCGCTAAGTTGTGACAAACAAATAGTAAACTTTTGAGAAATTATAATTGTTAATGTATCAAAAATGCAATTTTTACATATAACGCTATTGTCCTTCCGTTTCAGACAATAGGAAAAAAAAAAAAAAAAGAATAACTATGTTATAATTAACAAACAATCACAATTTGTTATATAAAAATTAAACTAACCGGAATTAATTATCGTTATGTAAACATCAAAGCTAATGCTTATCGTTATACGTATATTGAATATTCAGTGCTACGCATGTATTGTAAATTTGGGTTCGAAGGAATGTACATTTGTGAGGTTTATATATCCTTAAGATGCCTGTTCTTACATATTGTTATTCATTTTCACAAATTTCACAAATGCAATCCGAATGTCACAATCTGAGCTTTAAGATTTGCAGATCAGATTGTATTTGCCAATACTACACTACACAGTTCTTATTTATTATTATGTAAAAAAAATTGAAGGCAATGTGGGATTATCAAAATCCCAATAAGTTAGCCCGCATTATGTTAATGTTGACTATAATTTTTTTTCGAAATTATGATTGTCGGGATTTGATCCAAATCCAGATATTTCTTTGAAACATGTAAATCACAAGATCCTTGCTAATAAAGCCTGGATCTGGATATAATTATCCGGAATTAGTTATTCGATGAATAAATATCAGTATGATAGGGTTCTGGAAAAGAACTTTAAAACTCTACAGTATATAAAAAGAAAAATTAAAGTTAGGAGTCTTTTTAGATCCTTATTAGGAATAGAGATGCGGTAGAAACTGTTACGGCTTTACTCATACAGAACAGTTTCCATTGTACACAAATTATTAAGAGACTTGCTAGAAATAATATGCACACGTACCTTCATTTCACTAATTTCGTTTTAGAGATTTTAAACTTAATATTAATTTAAACAGAAATACTTACAAACTAAGAACCGTATAAAAGTAATACATAGTTTTTCTGATTATTTTAATTTCAGGCTAAATTAAATAAAATGTAAAAATTTTTGTATAATTATTATATGAATATAGATAATCCGAATTAAACGGATATGAATATAATAGATAAGGGTAACGGATGAAAATATGATAATGGATCTAAGCACTATCTGATATGGGATAAATCTTTGGATCTGATATAGATTACAAATTGTTATACAGCCTATCTAGTCAGTAATAGGTAGTTGTAGTGCAGATGAATTAGATGGTTGCTAACGAAATTTAGGGCCACCAACCTAAGAAGGTTTTTTAGCAAAAATATTAGCAATTGTATTAGGTTGAAAAAATTTAGTTGATGCCTAACATCCTCAAGGAAAATTTCTTGTTAGTGCGCAGAAGCCAGTTTTGTAAGTAAAATTTCGATTTACTAATTTACTATGATTGATTTTTTTTTTGATCTTGAAATTTGATTGGCCAGTTTATGGCGTTAACATCGTAAAATATCTTTAAAAAAAATTATTTAAAATATTCATTGCTTATAAATTATTGATTGATTTATTTATTTAGAGCAAGAGAGGAGTATATTATATATATATGATTCTAAAGTATTATCATACATTAAAATGTTTTTCTAAGCCACATGATACAAACTTTCATTACAACATTAGGTACATGTACACATTTTTTTATTTGCAAGAAATTAAAAAATGTTGCAGTAACGAGTATATACAGTATGCATAAAGGAATGCTTACTGCTAAACAAACATTTTCTGCTAGATGGATTCTACAATGCTAGATCAAGTACTGTATCATACTTCAAATCTAGTGATTCGATGCTTTAAAAAAAGCAAAAAGAAAATACTATGTATAATGCAAAGATAAGACTACAAACAAGTGATGCCAGGGAAAAAAAAATCTAAGCCTGACACTATTATCTCATTGAACTTTGTCTCTAAGAGCTTTTTAAAATTAGAGTAATTCAAAATTTTAATTTTTATCGTTCAAGTAAACAAACATTCATCAAAGTTTTACAGTAATGATAATTTATATAATATAGTATTATAACTACTGTAATAATAGCGAATACCTTTGCCAGTACACTTACGTACGTACGATCGATCTAATGAGCTAGGCAAAACGTGCGTGTAGCGGTAGTTGACAACTAATGTGCATATGTCAATGACACACATGACTTACGTACGTACGTTACACGCATAGCTGATAGTGTGAATTTATCATCACGGGTTAACCGTTAGAGTAAACATTTTCTGTTTGCTTAGCTTAGCTCAAGTATGATAGCCCTGCCGAAATGGCAGTAGTAAGCTTATATAATATTGTAGGTAAATTGTTATGTCATTAGCATTATTAGCTTGATGTTCCCGGGACAGTAAGGTTGATCTTGGACATTAGACACACGTATTCTATAAATTGATTAAATTCTAACCAATTAAAGTTTGTTTGTTGGTCATCCAATTGTATACAACATAAAAGTTTTTTTTTCAGATCCAACTAAATTGGTAACGATAGTATTAATATTATAAAGTCTTTACGTTTAGCAAATATTTATTTATATAATTTTGTTATCAAAGATAATCTTTACTAACGCTAAATGCTAAATATGTAATTTTTAGTTTTCTTTGATTGAGTGTGACATAACACAGTAATATAATCAACAGTATCATCAACAGTATCATCAACAGTATCATCAACAGTATCATCAAGGGTATATCAACGATCAGATAATCGTATTAGGGTCAGCAGTAAATTTTCTTTATTTGCTGTATTTCCATAATTTGCCAAAAATTTGTATACAAAGATTTTCCGTAACAAAATCTCCGGTACGTACGTGCGTACTGTCTGTATATACTGTAAACATAAATAGAACTGAACTTTTTATGTAAATAGACCTTCACGATAAACCAATCTTTGCCTCTTTTTACAAATAATATGAGAAATGTGATCGAAATTGTAGATACTGTTTGTATATCAAAAAGATATAGTTCGTTCGAATAAGAAAGTCACAAGTCGTTACAGTAGCATCGAATTTCTTAAGAGAAATAAATTATTTATTATACATATAAATTATTATTTGCATGAAAAAAAAAAGTCACTAACTTAATAATGCATATAAGGGAATAAGAGGAATAATAACAAAAAAAAAAAAATTTATTTATTTATTATTATTAATTAATTTGAAAGCTCGCTTTTTTTTTTATTCTGCATACGTATATTAATTTCTTTAAAAATGCTACATAGAATTTTTAAATACAAATGCAAGACGATCTTTGTGGCATTTTTTAACGTTAATTTTTAAAGCCAATCTTTTTAAAGATATGATAGAAATTTTATTTTCATTGATACTTATTTATCTGTTGCTTATCTATGATTCATTTTCCCTGCGAAAAAAAAACGATTCTTAGTTTAGACTAGTTTAGACTAGTTTAGACTAGTTTAGACTGCAGAAGCACAAACAAACTAAATCGGTTATCACGCATTATTTAAAAAGTAACTTTAAAAAAAGACTAACTAGGATTAAAAAGAATTAAAAAGATGAACATGTTCGAGATATTCATTGTGTAATACCGAAAGTTCAAATTGAATTTTACGCAATAAGGGATATAATTCGTCCTAAAAAAATTTTCCATTGGTCCACTATCAAACACCAATATATTTTATTGTTTACAGACACCGTTTTTATAATAATAGTAATTCGTATAACAAATCTTCTAAAAACAGAATTAATATAGTTCTTTGAAATGCACTTAATAACAAGGATAAAATTGGTTGCGTAACCTAATTATTAGCTTATTATTAACTTATTATTAGCTTGTTATTGCAACATTACCGTTTTGTATAATTTATAAATGTTACACTAGTCATTTTATCCCTGATGTATAAACATGTAATTTGCTGCATTATTAAATTTGCTAAATCATAATTTTTCGTACACATTATATTACCAATTTCCAAATACGGTACCGAGACTATGCTTGGCTTACCGTTGATAAACTACCTACTTACGAAAATTTATTGACCAATATTTTCGAAATTTATCTTTTTTTTTTTTTCTCTCCCTTTTAACACATACCATTATTGTTTCTTTGCACGCCTTTATTATTAAACCAACCTACATTCATTCGTTCATTTATTCTGTCAACGCTTATTTTTGTCCTACCAACTACGAAGTAAAACAGCATATATCGCAAGTCACTACCGCAGAATCCAGCAAATTAACGAAAAGATTCCTTTTTACCCTCCTTTTTATCGTTTGTAAAAAATTTTTACCAACTTTTTTCTTAATTCTTGTAAAAAAAAAAAAAAAAAAAAAATTAATAAAAAATTTTTATATATATAAAAAAAAAAATATATTATTATTATTATTAATAATAATTTTACAGTGCCTATTACGTATCAGCAAAAAATCGAAAGCACCTTTCTTTTTATTCCGACCCACACGCGGGCTGGCTCCCAGGAAAAAAAAATTATATATATACATATATTTATATTATTGTTTTTTTTTTTTTTTAAAGTAATATAAAAAAAAAACCTTTTATTTAAAAATTTATAAGACGACTGGTCCTTACCTTGTATTTTAGTTTTCTTTACCAACAAAGAATTCCCTTTTATTTTAAATTAAAAAAAAAAAAAAATTAATATAATGTCGAATATGACGACTTCCGAAAACACATCGGTGCAAGTTGGTGAGTCACACAAACTTACGAAAAAAGAACCTTAAACTTAAAAGACTACGTATAAATTTAATAATTAAAACCTTTTTTTATATAATAGCCCTCCGAATAAGGCCATTAACTGCTGAAGATTTGGTAAATTTACCTACAAGATTTCAGAGAAATGTTCTATCAACAACATTATTCGCTCCAAATCAAGTGACTGTTCTTCAAGGCGAAAAGAAACAAACTTTCACTTTTGATCATGTCTTTGGTCCTGAATCGAATCAAAAAGACATATATGATCGATGTATTAAAAGTATGGTTGATAAATTCTTAGAAGGTACGTTTTAAAAAAAATCAATTATTCATTATTATTATTACTTTATCACAAAAATTGTGATCGCATACCTTTTCTGTAAAAAAAAGAAAAGGTCCTCTTTTTATACTACTATATATCTATATGATTATTGAACCGAAAATTATTGCTGCGCCATAGGATTTAATGTTACCATATTGGCTTACGGTCAAACCTCATCGGGTAAAACCCATACTATGGGTACTGCTGATAGTTTATCGTCACCTTCAGAATCAAGAGGTATAATCCCACGGTCAATGGCTACACTCTTTTCATACATAAATTCTGCTCAATATAAAAATCGAAAATTCACTATGAGGGTATCTTTTGTGGAAATATATAATGAAGACTTAATTGATCTTCTCGCTGAAGGTGATGATGAATGTAAACCACAAGTATTAATAAGAGAAGATTCTAAAGGAAATATTATTTGGAGTGGTTTACAAGAAATTAAAGTTAGCACGGCTGAAGAAGTCATGAGGTATAATATAAAAAAAAAAAGTTATTATTTTTCGTAACTTACTTTTTGTTTAATTAATTAATTTATTTATTTTATTTAATTTAGTCAATTATCACGTGGTTCGGCAAGTCGGCAAGTGAGTGCGACAGATATGAACGCTCAATCTTCGCGTTCACATGCAATTTTTTCGGTTACACTATCTCAACAAAAGTTTATACCTTCGTGTGGTGGTCCTGCAAGCCCAACTCCTCTTTCACGCCCATCTACTCCAAGTAAATTGGGTTCTTCTCCTTCAAGAGCTGGATCTAGACTGGGTAAACGAAATGATGATGGTGATTGGGTTTCTGTAACGAGTAAATTTCATTTCGTTGATTTAGCTGGTAGTGAAAGAGTAAGCTTTAATCTATATTTTTTAATTTATATTTTTGTTTTTGATTTTTGATTACTTGATTTTTTATCGAATTAAATTCATCTAAATTTATTTAAATTCATCTATATTCATCTATATTCATCTATAAAATTAATAATTATGTTAGCTTAAACGTACATCCGCCATCGGTGATCGTGCAAAAGAAGGAATTTCAATTAACTCTGGTCTATTGGCATTGGGTAATGTAATTTCTGCTTTGGGTGATCCAACGAAAGCAAAAAGTACTACACATATTCCTTATAGGGATTCAAAACTTACTAGATTATTACAAGATTCTCTTGGTGGTAATGCTCAAACTTTAATGATTGCTTGTGTTTCACCTGCTGAATTTAATGTTAGTGAAACTATTAATACTCTTAAATATGCTAATCGTGCAAGAAATATAAAAAATGTTGCTACTGTTACTCAAGAAGAAGCTGGTTGGCATGATTTAGAACATTTACAACATTTAGTTATTAAATTAAGATCAGAAATTAAAAATTTAAGACTTTCAACTGGTATTATAACTGCTTCTGGTAGAAGTACTCCTTCAGATGCTATTAATCTTCGTAGATCTTCTACTTCCCTTTCATTTAGTAATAACAATAATAATAACAATAATAATAACAATAATATTAACAATAATAATATTATTATTATTAATAATATTAATAATAATAATAATAATAGTAATATAAGAAATGATAAAGATATTGATGCTCTCGAGGAACAATTGGCTGACCTTCAACGTTCTTATTCTGAATTAACTCAAAAGTATGCAAAAATTTCCGCTGAATTATCTTCTTATCAAGATAACACAGAATTATCAAATCAAAGACAATTAAATGCTATAATGGAAGATAGTGATGATATCGACTTTTTATCTCATGCTACTGCTTCATTTCAAGAAACTGTTGCTCCAGTTATTGCTGAATATGAAAAATCTATTAATGAACTTGAAAGTCAATTAAAAATTGCAAGATCTTCTTTAAGTGCTACAGAAAAATTAATGCAAGATCAAGAATTAAAACTTGAAGAAGCTGAAGATTTAAATTCAAAAAATAAATTATTAATTACTGATCTTAAAAATAAAATTTTAAAACTTAATGAACGTGAAGAAACTACTGAAAGTTATATTAAAGATCTTGAATCAAAACTTGATTCTTATTCAAGTGAACAAAAAAGAGATCAAGAAATTATAAATGATCTTAGAAATAAAATTTCTCAATTACGTACAAATGGTGAAAATAATGAATCAATTATACAAAAATTAGAAACTCGTTTATCAAGAAGTGAAAGTAAAGCTGAATTAATGAATGAAACTGCTCAACATCTTGAAAAAGCTTTATTGGAAAGAGAAGATGCTTATAATAAATTAGAATTAAAATATAAGAATGAAAAATCTCAAGATGAACAACAACAAAATTTATTATTAAATGAAATTGAAGATAGAGATCGTAGAATTTCTCAACTTGAGAAAAAAGTTGATGATCTTATTTCGGAAATTTCTCAATTTAAAAAACTTAAAGTTGATGTTAATAAAACTCCTCGACGTAAACATCGTAGATCTTCTTCAACTTCTTCTTCTTCATCCGATGTTGATACTCCTTTTTCTACTCCTCCAAGTTCAAATACTCCAATGCCAACAAATAATGGAGATTATTCTATTGTTTTAAATCTTGAATCAAAACTTTATGAATTACAAAAAACTCATGAAAAAACTGTTTCGGAATTTGCTGAAATTAAAGAAAAATATCATTCTTGTCTTGGAGAAATTGAAGAATTACAATCTCAACTACAAGATTCTAAAGTATTACATTTTGAAGTTATTGATACTGATGATTCTACGATTACGATTAATAAACAATCCGATAATAATAATATTATTAATATTAATAATAATAATAATAATCTTAATATTAATAATAATAATAATAATGTTTATGATCCAAATTCTTTATCACCTCAAGTTTCTGGTTCTCATCGTAAATCAAGATCTCTTTCGGCTGAAATTCAAGGTGCTGAAAAACGTGAACTATCAAGTTTAGCAATGATACAAAAACTTCAAATTGAACTTAAACAATTAGAATCTTTACATAAAGATAAAGCTGAAGGTTTAGAAGCTGTTAAAAAAGAATTTGCTAGATTAGAAGTAAATCATCTTGAAACTCTTGAAATTGTTGAAGAACTTCGTGAAGAAATAAAAAGAAGAGATGCTTTAGCTCAAATTGAAGTTATGTCAGTAATGACTTCTGAATATGCTTATACTGAATCTGGTTATTCTGCTGCTACAAGTGAAATTGATCAATTAGAAATTGTAAATCGTCTTAGAGAAGAAGTTGAACAATTAAAAGAAGAACAAAGAAAAAATTTGGAAATAATTGCAAAAAATGAAAAAGTTGATAATAAAAATAATGATATTATTGCTAAAATTGAATCAAATATTAATGAACTTTCTATTAATTTACAACGTATGATTGATGATAATGGAAATGATGATGATATTAAATCTTTACAATCAAAAATTAAAGATTTAGAAGATCAACTTAACGTTGAAAAAGAATCTCAAAGACAATTTAATATTAATGAAGCTGCTGCTCGTCTTGAAGGTGTCCTTCCTATACCTGATGAGAATGCTCAAATATCTGAATTACGTCAACAAGTTGATAAACTTCAAGGTGAAATTGAATCAAAAAGTCATACGATAGCTGCATTATTATATCCTTCAATTGAAAATCAAAATCATATTCGAAAACTCGAAGATGAATTACAAGAATCAAAAGAAGCCTATCGACTTATTACAGAAGAAAAGAATAATAATAATCATAAATTGACTACAATATCGGAAGAAGAAGAAGAAGAAGAAAGAGCAGTAGAAGAAGAATATAACTTTGCTGATAAACATGCGGAAACTTTGGAGAAAAAAATAAAATCTCTTGAAGAACAATTAATTAAAGCAAAAGAAGTTCCAAATATTCCTACTCCACGAAATTCTATAATTAATAGTGCTGATCCAACTTATGAAGCGGTTGGTGGTCTTGAAGAAAAACTTACTAAATTACGTCAAGAACTTGCTCTTAAATCAGAAACCGTAAAAGATTTACAAAGTGAACAAGAAATTGTTGTTGCCCTTCAAGAACAAGTGGAAACGCTTAAATTAGATATTCATCATAAATATGAACTTATTGAAATACTTAAACGAGATCTTGCGGATAAAGCAATTCTTCAACAACGATTAAAAGAAAAAGAAGCTGAAGTGTTAATATTTAGATCAAAACTTATGGATGTTCATAAACAAGAAACTGAACTTGAAAATGAAATGAATAAATTAAAATCAAGATTGGATAAATTAGAAACTGGTGAAGATGTGAATAAAGTTTTACAAACCGAATTGGAAACTTTAAGAAAAGAATTAAAAGATGTTAGAGCCAGAGAAGCGGTCACGTTGGATAGACTTCATGTTCTTAAAGCAAGATTAGGTTCTGATCAAGAGGAAACTCATTTACAAGAACAATTAGAACATTTACGTGTGGTTGAAATTGCTCAAAGGGAAAGAATTACCATATTGGAAGGAAGGCTTTCCGAACAAGGTGGACAAATCGATGAAGATTTTGTTAAATTAAAAACCGAGTTAGCACTTGCCAGAGAATCTGAAGCTGCACAAAAACGTACTATTGAAAATTTGGAGATTAAACTTAAAAAAGCCGAAGATAGATCCCAATTAACAACTCTTCGACGTGAAATTGCTGGATTAAAGGCTAAGGAAGCCGAACAAATTAAGAAAATAAGAGATTTAGAATTTCAATTAAATGAATCGGTAAATAAAGATTCGTATCAAGTTAAATTGTTAAAAGAAGAAATTGAAAGTTTAAGTGGAAATGAACGAGAACAACGTAAACAGATTGAAAATCTTGAATCTCGATTAGAACTTATTAAAGATGAAGATCCAAATATTTCGGCTTTAAGAGATCAAATTGCCGGATTAAAAGCATCGGAAGCCGATTTAAGAAGAACGGTTCAAGATTTAGAATCAAAATATATCTCTGCTCAAAAAGAAATAAAGGTCTTTGAAACGGTTAAAGAAGAAGTTGCATTCTTGAAAGAATTAGAATCTGAACAAAAGACAACAATTGAACAACTTCAATCTCAATTACGTAAAATTAGAAATTCAAAAGAAGCTGCTATTAAAGAACTTCAATCGATGAAAGGTGGTTTTAGTCTTCAAAAAGAACTTGTGGTTTCTTTAGAAGAAGAATTAAAAGTCCTTAGACAAGATTTAGCGTTTGCCAAAGAGAATACTAATTCGTCATCAGAAGAATTAGAAAAAATAACAGAGTTACTGAACAATACTCAAAAACAACGAGATGATGCACAAAGACGCGTCAAAGCTTTGGAAATTGAAGTTGAAACTTATAAACTTGCCGGAGAAGCTGGTAATGAAAATATAGGAAAATTACGTGAAGAATTATCTAATGTTAAACTTGAAATGTCGGCTCAAAATGAAATGATTGTTGAACTTGAAGCTCAAATGAATATTATAGAAAAGGAACGTGATGAAAATGCTAAACGCGTAGATGAATTGACGACAATTCTTAAGGAAAGAGAATCTAATCAAAAAGATGCCATTAAAGAATTAGAATCTACTTTAACGAATTTAGAAACTGAATTGGTCATGGCTAAAGATTCTTCAAAGATTAATAAAGAAACCATTTCTAATCTTGAAGAGAAACTTTCCACCGTACGATTACAATTAAAAGAAGCAAAAGATTCTGATGAAAAAAGAACCAACGTAATTAAGGAATTAGAAGCCAAATTTAAAGAAGCCACCGGAATTTTATTGGAAAAAGAAAATAGTCTCAGTAATCAAGATAAACTTGTTGCTGAACTAGAAATGTTGATACAAAATACTCAAAACGAGTTACAATCTGTCAAAGTATCAGAAACCGAAGCTACTGGACGAATAAAACTACTTGAAGCTAAACTTGCCGAAGCGACAAAAATGCAAGTTAATTTTAATTCTTTTGCCGCCGAACTTGAAACGTCAGAAGCCGAACTAAATAAAGTTAGATCTTATGAAGCCAAACACGTTCAACATATCAAAAGTTTGGAAAGTAAACTTCAAGAAGTTCAAGATCGTCATCAGCAAGAAATCTCTAAACTCAAACAAGCCGAAGAAGAAATTTCATCACTTCGAGAAAAGTGTGGTCAATTACAAGAAGATATTGGTAATGCACATCGTGATTCTGTTATTAAAAGCTATGAGAACATTGATAATAATATAGTTGAAGAGCTTAATAGCCAGCTTAAAAAAGCTCTAAGTCAAGTTCAAGAACAACAAGATCGTGTTGTAGAATTAGAGAAAACCACCAAACAACTTGAATCAGAAAAGAAAATACAATGTGAACGTAATGAAGATCTTGAAGATCAAGTTGAACAATTACAAAAAGACCTTGAAACATTAGCTGAAGAATTTGCGGAAGCTGCATCTAAATTTGAAGATGCTGATGAATTATCTAGACAACAAAAGAGTCGTATTGCTGAATTAGAGAATGCTTTACGAGAAGCAAAGAAAAATTATTCTGAAGACACTGATGAATTTAATGAATCTGGGCATACCAACCCATCACTCGTTAAACTTGCAGCCGCGAATGAACAATTACGTCAGGCCAATGACAGTCTAAATTCCAAGATTGCTGAAGCAGAAGGACAAACACAAGTACTAGCTGATAAAGTCAAATTATTAGAAAGTGAACTTACTCGACTTGGATCAAGCGATCAAGAATCTATAACAGTATTAAAAGATAAGATAAAAGAACTTGAAATGGAAAAAAATGGATTAGAGGAAGCTAACGAAGCACTTTATGATGAACGTGGAAAACTTGATCAAAAAATTGAATTCTTGATGCAACAATTACATTCTGTTAGTAATGGAGATAATAAGACAAGTGCTCAAGTTGCGGAATTAAATGAACAAATTGTTAATTTGGAAAGAGAAATTTTCGATTTAAAGAAACAAACTTTAGCTGATACAAAAGAAATGGAAAAAGAAATCACAAAGCTTTTAGAGATAAATGATCAACTTGAAAAAGAAATCAAGATCAGCCCCGTTAATGTTAATGATAATGTTACAACAATGGCCGATGATGATAATATAAGTTCACATGAGCAATCCAAACTTACACGACAAGAAGCCACTATTGCACAACAAAATAATGTTATCAAATCATTACAAGATAAAATTGCAGAACTTGAAGAATCACGTAAAGTATTACAAGAAACAAATTCCGAGACACGTAACTCTGCTTCATCAATATCATCCAGTTCATCAGAAGGAAAGAAAAATATGCGACCACTCACTGGAGCTCATACAAATGCACCACCACCTACACCACCACCAAATCATCCACCACCACCGCCTCCAAAGCAAGCAACTCCTCAAAGTCCAATCTCACCACCATCAACACCAGGCATCCCACGTTCAGTACTACCACCGAAACCAGATTCTGAATCTTCAAGACATAGATCCGATTCAAGTACATCATCAGAACTTGCAGTGGAAATACAAAAATTGCAAAAGAAAATTGCAAAGATGGAAAGTGAAAATTTACAAAATCAACAACTTGTTGAGACATTGGAGTCAACACTCAATGAAAATGAAACAAATCTACGTGTAGCCAAAGAACAATTATCTATATTACAACGTGAGAAACAAGAATTTGTTGAACAGATCAAGAACTTAAAAGCACAATTAGACGACGCTCAACAACAAGTTGAACAAGCCAAATCAACTGTACGAGAAGAAAAGAAAGTCATGGAAAGTGTACTTGAAGAAGAACGTAAAGCCAAGGAAAAGGCTGAAAAGGCTCGAATAGCAATTGAGAACCAAATGGAGAAACTTGTTGCTAAAAGAAACAAATTTATGTGTTTCTAAGATATATAATATATAATTCAAATACACAGATATACAGAGCTTTCTTTAATTCGAGGCTACTTTGCCTTGCCGGCATTTATATTAGAGTTATTAACGATCATGCAGAGATATAATTAAGAACATTTACTACACCAACTTCACCTATGGTTTTAATTTCTTGTTGGGATGATACAATATTGCCAAAAACAAACTTGGGAAGTGGATAATTATAATTCAAAAAAAAATAAAATAAAACTTTTTTTTCATTGTTATCAATCCCGGCAAGCTAAGGTTTTTTTTTTATAGATCTTTTTTTCATACATCATGCATCACAATATCTATGTACATTTTTTTAATCATTTTCAAATGTAAAAAAAAAAAAAAAATTTCTTTTATATTTATATAACGTTTATTTATTTTTTTTCTTATCAAACTAAACTAAATATGCTGGGCTTTTCTAGTTTAGCTTTTTTTAATAAATATTTAGTTGCTTTTTTATTTATTTATTTATTTATTTTTTTTTTTTTTCTGGGTGAAATTGGGATAGATTTTTCTTTTTCTTTTTTTTTTTTTGAATGTCATCAAAACATTGCATTTCATTCAAATTTTATTTATATTAAATTACATTCATTTTTATATTTAATCATACGTGCTGTATATTGAGCATATATAAAAAAATTTGTAAAAAAAAAAATAAACATACTATAAATCGTTATTTATATACATTAATGTGTGTTTTTACTGTCTTAACTGTTAAGTAATATTTTATAACTAATTTCTAAATAATTACAAAGATATATTTGAAGTCTCATTTATCGTGATACAGAATTTCTTATTTTTTTCAAATAATGTGGCGTTAGGGTGTACAACGGCCTATAGGTAGGGTCACTAATGATCATCACTAATTGCGGATTTTTTATCGGAATCGATGCACACATATTAATATCAATACATATCAATCTTATTAAAACAAAAATTTAGATTTATTGAAATAAATAATTAACTAAATAGAATACTATTTTTTTTTTTAAATTAAACCTCAAGACTAGCTCTACACCGAAATAGAGCTATTTTTTTTAATATTTTTATAAAAATATTTAGAACGCTGATGATTAGTGTTCTTAGTTTCGATTATTTATATTTTTTTGACTTTTTTAAAAAGAAAATTAAAAAAAATAGCTCTATTTCAGTGTAAAGCTAGTTTAGAGCTTCAATTTTAAAAAAAATAGTATATTGTTTGATTAATTAGTTATTTCAATAAATGTAATTTTATTTGGTAAAATTTATAGGTTCGATTTACTATATCAATTACTGTATTTTAGGTCATACAATTTAATAAATCGGTTTATCAGAATCCTGATACCGAAAATCCCAATGTTTAAAATCCCGAAACCAATTTTTAACACTATCAGGATTTTTATTTTCTGGATTTTGAGCATCGGAATTTTAAGTATCAGATTCTGAGTCAGCCCCAAAAATTACCATTAGAAAATCCGCAATTAGTGATGATCATTAGTAGGCCGTTGAACACCCTAACGTATTATGTATTGTAAAATAATTTTTTTATATGTTGCACACCGGTGAAGGATCAGTTACACAGATTAAGTTATCAATAAATATTTGTTTACTTACGTGCATATTAATTTTTATCCTTTTCAATTTCGTAATTGTTGGTGTTCTGGCGTTCCCTACGTGTATACGAAAAGTTTCTCTTAACAACTATTGCAAAGAGTTAAGAACAACACAAATACTTATTTACCCTTACGTCCAAGTCATTCATTTGTATTAATTTACCCGGTAAGTAGAAAGAACGTTTAAAATTAACAACAAGTTCACAAGACAAGAACAATATATATATATATATACTTATTTACTTTTACGTCCAAGTCGCTTTATGAGTGTAAAGAATATTTATTATATGAAGGAATTTAGAACAACAAAACAACGGTAAGTATAAAAAAATATTTATTAATGAAAGTATAAAGAATGGCAAACAGGTTCACAAAACATAATATTTATTTATCTTTAAGTACAAGTCACTACACATTTATTCATTTACTCTTATGTCCAAATCATTTCGTTCACGTTAATAAGTTCACATAAATACTTATTTATCTTTACATCTAAGTCGCTTCATTCACATTAATTTAGTCTGTGTGTAAAGAACATTTATTAACGGAAGGAATTAAGAACAAAAAAATAATTATTTACACTTATACTCAAAATATTTAATTCGTTAATTTTAGTCGGTAAATAGAAGAACTTTAGTAACGTATTGAGTTAAGAACATCAAAACATGTCCACAAGACAAGAACATAAATGCTTATTTATCTTCACGTCCAAATCGCTTCTTTCGGAATAGAAACCAAATTTGTGCCTAAAGATTTCATTCAGAATACAGTTAAGCAAGGTATGTTTAGTCCTTAAATTACTGATTTTTTTTTATGTAAGCCAACGTTACAAGACTCAAATTCTAAAGAACTTTTTTGCTATGCTTCTATATTGCATCGGAGGTATCATATACAACTCAATCAGATATTATTTTTTAGAATAGAGACATGTTAATACATAGAGATTTTCATTCCTGAAATATAGTTCATCAATGTATTCTTAGTTATACATTGCTGATTTTTTTATGCAAGCCAGTGTCGCAAAACTTAAATTCTAAAGAAGCTGCTGGTGTACTTCCTATATTGTTTCGGAGGTATTATATGGAAATGGAAAGGAATATATTCTTATTCTCAGAATGAGAGCCAAAATAGTGAATTTTATTTCGGAAACATAGTTTGTCAAGGTATGTACTTTTACTATACAAATCATATCTAAATCACTTATGCCAACATAATAAGAATAGTACAGAAACCGAATTTTTTAAAAGAAACATAATATATTTATATTGAAAAATTATACTTTATCGAAGTTTTGAGTTCCAAATTACTAGTAACAACTAATACTCTAATTATTTCTACTATTTTGTTATATCCATTATTCATGCTATTCGGCAATATCGATAGAAGTTGAAAACCAAATCGTATACCCAATATTGATGGTATCGTATGCCATATGATCATATAATGTTTTTTCCTTGGCATTTTACTAAAATGTTTACGTGTTTCGTGCAAACAAATATTAGGGCAAAAAATCACACGATTATATAACATATCGAATAATTATGGAATATTCAGAATATTAAGGATTTCTAGGATCGTTTACCTCTTCTACGGTACGTACTGTACGTTAACAGAATTTTTATCTTGCTTATTCCATGTTATGCTGGTCTTCAAAAGCATCAACATATTGTATACAATATACTAACTTGAGACGTCCATGGGTGCTGACTCAAGATCATATGGGATCTTTGCTAGGATTTTTTTCTTCTAAAAATAGATTTATTAATAAAAATCTTGTGTAACAATGACTCGTAGGGTCATTTTCCTAGCAAAGATCCCATATATGCTTTTTTTGAAGAATCCGATTACAAAATAATGTTATTATTTCGGGCTTAATATATAACTTGTACAATCGTAAGTTTTTTTCTTCTTTTTTATTTTTATTAGAAAAGGTTATTTTTTTTCTTTTTTATCTTTTATTTTTTAATTTATTTTTTTTTTATTTTATTTATTTAGTTAATTTTTTTTTCTATTTTACTCTTTTAATTTATCTTTTTATTTGCTTTTATTTTTATTTTTTTCTATTTTATTTTATTTTTAATTTTTTTTTTTAATCTTCACGTTAGAAGAATTATTTTTTAAAGCTGGATGATACGTATCCATCAGATTTCTAGCTATATTAAATTTATAAAGGTCCCGTTGGGAGCCTTTATATTTGTTTTTTTTTTATTTTTCCCGTTAGAAGAATTATTTTTTTAAGCTGGATGATACGTATCCATCAGATTTCTAGCTATATTAAATTTATAAAGGTCCTGTTAGGAGCCTTTATATCCGTTTTTTTTATTTTTTTTAATCTTTTTTTTTAAGCTGGATGATACGTATCCATCAGATTTCTAGCTATATTAGATTTATAAAGGTCCTTTTAGGAGCCTTTATATTTGTTTTTTTTTTATTTTTTTTAATCTTTTTTTTTAAGCTGGATGATACGTATCCATCAGTTTCTAGCTATACTAAATTTATAAAGATCCTGTTAGGAGCCTTTATATTCATTTTTTTTTTTTTCAATCATTTTTTTAAGCTGGATGATACGTATCCATCAGATTCTAGCTATACCCTGTATTAAATTTATAAAGGTCCTGTTAGGAGCCTTTATATTCTTTTTTATATTATTGTTTTTTTTAATCTTCCTGTTGGAAGAATTATTTTTATAAGCTGGATGATATTCCATTGAATGATTTTAGCTATATTAAATTTATTAAGGCCCCGTTGGGAGCCTTTATATTCGTTTTTTATTTTATCTTATTTTATTTTATTTTATTTTATTTTTTACTTTTTTTTTTTTTAATCTTCCCGTTGGTAGAATTATTTTTATAAGCTGGATGATATCCCTTTGAAAGATTCTAGCTATATTAAATTTATAAAGGTCCTGTTAGGAGCCTTTATATTCGGTTTTTTTTTTTTTTTTTTTAACTTTTTTTTTTAATCTTACCGTTGGAAGAATTATTTTTATAAGCTGAATGATACGTATCTATTGGAAGATTCTAGCCATATTAAATTTATAAAGGTTCCGTTGTACATTATTTTATGAATAAACTATATACTCACGCCCTGGTAATTTAAAATGTAAGTGAAAGAATCGAGAAGTAATATTTAAAGGAGAATTCTATTAACGATAAAATGTGTACATTATTTTATGAATAAACTATATACTTACTCACTGGTAATTTAACACATAAGTGAAAGAACCGAGAAGTAATATTTAATAGAGAATTCTATTGACGACAAAATGTGTGTACATTATTTCATTACAGCGCATTTGTGAAATTTAGCTAATTTTTGGTCACCAAAACTATAAATTTGGTCACCAAAACCTTAAATTTGGTCACCAAATTTATTATTGATTGATTAAAA